CTCTCTAGTCTTATCAACTAGAAGAATATCATCAGCAAAAAGCATACACCAAGGTACATCCTCTTGTAAATAATAGAAAAAGAAAAAAAAAGCATTACCTATATCATACATTTCAAACATATTTAATTAAAATATTGTCATATATATATATATATATATATATATATATAATAGCTTGATAGTGCTGGAAATGAACCGAGCCGGTTGACTATTTATGTGTTCATGTTCGAGCTCGTTTGATAAGAGCTTGTTCAAGCTTAGTTCTATCTTTTTGTGTGTTCAAGTTTGGTTCATTTAAAATCATACATGTTCAAGCTTGGTTCGTATTCGGTATCCCTTATTGAGCTCTAAACGAGCAACTTGTTTATAAATGACTAAACGAGCCTTATCTAGCTCTTAACGAACGAGCTTTAATGAGTCTTATCGAGCTCTTAAAGAACGAGCCTTAACGAGCTCTTAACAAATGAGCCTTATCGAGCCCTTAAAGAACGATCCTTAAAGAGCTCCTAACGAGCGAGCCTTATCGAGCTCCTAACGGACGAGTCGTATCGAGCTCATAAACGATACTTTTAATGAACAAGCTTCTTAATCAACTCTATAAATAAAACAAGCTTAGTTAGATTTATGAAATTTAACATAAATAGAGCCCAAACTCAACGAAATTTAAACAAAATAATGTGCATTGCAATCATAAGAATATGTTTCAGACGAATCTGTACATCCACTGAGATTGGGCACGAACGTGTTCAAGGATGAATGACGTAGGGAAAGAGGAGGGTTTTGAGCATGGGAAGAAAGAGGGTTTTGGACATGAGTGGAGCGGCGTAAGAGCAAATAGGGTTAGGGCAACTGAGAGTGTGAGAAGCGAGATATTATTTTTGTTTGCATAAATGACGTAGCCGTGTGGTGGAGGCTGTCACAATGTTGTCCGTCTGATTGCTCAACTAAAAAAAATAAGATTGTTATTAATTAGTAATTAAATAACTATTATTAGTAATTAAATTATATATAAGAACCTAATATCAATTAATATATAATAATTTATTTATTAAATATATAGTATAATATTAATAAGAATTAATCGATATCGATATTAAACATTAATCTAGTTTTTAAATGGGCTTGCTCACGAGCTTTATATTGAGTGTTTTTACGAGCTTCTTATTGAGCTTCCTATCAAGCATGTTCACTTTCTTTAAACAATCTTGTTCGCGAGCATAAACGAGCTGAGCACATAGTTGTTCAAGCTTGTTTGACTAACTAATTAAACGATCACAAACGAGTCCTTATCAAGCCGGGCCTCGAGAATATATAAGAACCTATATCAAAATTATTACGCTCTATATTAATGACTTCCATGTAGGATTTCCCTACATATCCCAATAATTATCGCAATCAAATGATCCTTAATGAAATAAGATCATTAATCATATTGCAAGTTACGAGAGCGTAAGTGTACTAGGTAGCGTGCATGTTAGATGTTAAAGTCAGGAGACTCGTATGCCCCCCATGAATGTTCTCACACCCCATGAACACTTGTCATTGAAAAAAAATAAATAATTAACATACTGTTACGTGCCATGGGTTGCATGACTACTCATTAAAGTGTGCATGACATGCCAAATCACCAAAAGAGGGTGTCACTTATGAGCCCCTGATTGTATAATGTGTGTGTACTAAAGACATACAAGCACATTATGTGAATACATGAGGTGGCATGTACATGTACTGCCAGCCATAGAAATGCACTAAGGCTTCATTTGGGATAGATTTTTTTCTGCTTTGAAAATATATTTTTTAGTACAAAAATTTCTTGAATGCGGAGAAAAAGCAATAGTATAAAGCTGTCCAAACGAATCCTAAGTAGCAAGTATGCATATCGTCAATTATGCAAAACATTTTGCAAACGCACCAATAAATATGCAAACATTCAACATGCATGTGTATTATGCACACATGCTAGGCAACATTTGCAACACATCATGCATGCACCACACAACATAAAAAATATCATGCAAGTACATTGAGTAGTATGCAAGTGCATATACAAGCATACAAGTACACATATAAACATGCAAATGCATATGCAAGCATGCCAATATGCAAACAAATATGCAAATGTGTACGCGAACATGCATATATGCCATATGTATCCATTTCGTCGCATGCATACACGCTGTGTAATGAGCAAAATGCATCATGTGAATACATTGAAATGCGTGCATCACATTTAACATAAATTTGAATTATTCTCATGGGCCTTAACGAGCTTGACATATGTATACATGTGAAGTCTGAGGATGCTTCTTAGGTTAAACAAATAATCAATGAGTTTTCAGGCGTGCAAACATACATCATGCAAGTATATTGCAAAACATGAATTATTTAAAATGAAAATTTAAATACATGCATATTCTCCGATCCTTATACTGAATTTTCAAATTTAAGGTTTGAGAATGTTGTGCGGGTCAAAGGTGAACCTAAGTTCAAGTCCAATCCTTTTCCTTGAATGGACTGAAGTTGACACAACTTGAAGTCTTGAACCACCTAATCAATTCACGGTCGTTGCATCGACTATATTATTTTATTTTATACTTTCATATTAGGCCTTTAAAGCCTCTTATAAGAAATATTTGCTTATTAAAATGCAAACTCTTCGGACTAATGCTCATTGAATTAATCAGAGTATTTAGTTTTATATGTTCACATTAGCCCTTCAATGCCTCTTATAAAGAAAATTCACATATTAAAATATGTACTCTCGATTTCGATATCTATATGATAAACCTAAAAGTTAGAAGACGAACCAAATATTCTGTTTATAAGCAAATGGAGTCGACAAAGTTCAAATAATTAAGTGAAATTAGTTAGAAACCTCGATGAATGTGAATATCAATCGGAGGTGTCTCTACCTTTTAAATGCCCCTAAATATCAATATTAATCACTTAGAGGCTCAAATTATTGGAAAATTATAATATGATGTTTATCAAAGTTTAAATATTTAAATATTTAATTAATCACCTACATACTTAAAACAAAAACTTCATCCACCCTCTGCAATAGTTTCTTGAGATTGATAAATTTGAAAATCACTTTATCTCATAAAGAATGAACGTCCAATAAAAAATATCACTAAGATTAATTCTCAATCTATCTCTTCTCAATAAGGATATGATATGTGTCCTCGAACCGGTGGTCTCACCATCAAATGACATTACATGAAAACACTTATGACCGGGACTCTCTGATCAGGTAGTCTTGCTGTCAAATGGTACTACTAAATTATAGTCACAGCTAGAGCTCGTATGTTCTCCAATAACTCTAAATCATTGAGTAATGAATCAATATGGTATAACCGTTATGGTAAAAAGCTCTTTGTTAGCTAGAATGAACTCAAA